TGGTAGTGGAGCTGTGGGGGTTTCCTGCTGTACACTACCAGTTTCCAGCCGCCACACAAACCCCAAGCACAATCACAGACTGCTGAACATTCCCCTCCGCCACCAAACTGTTGGATTTGATTTCAATTAAAAACATCATATATGACGTATATACACACGCTGCTTTATTGTCATTCTGTGTGTCCTGGAGAGTCAGTGGGTTGTAAAGGTGTTTCGTACTAGAGTTAAGAATGATTGATGATTATTGGATGGCTAGTCAGGATCTTTTCAATAATGAGCAAAAAATTAAGTCTTAAAGGGATAGTTAATCCAAAAAAATAATATTTACTCATCTCGGGTGCTTGTAAACCTTTCAGAGTTTCTTCTGTTGAACTCTTAAGGAGGTGTTTTGAAAAAAGCTGAAACCTGTAACCACTGACTTGCATGTAGGAAAATGCCGTGGAAGATAAGTTTTCAGCTTTCTTCAAAATATCTTTTGTGTTCAACAGGAGAAAGAAAGTATTTTGATGAAAGCTGAAACCTGTAACCATTGACTTCCATAGTAGGAAAACAGATACTATGGAGGTCAATAGTTAAAGGCTTTCAGCTTCCTTCAGAATGTCGTCTTTTGTGTTCAACAGGAGAAAGAAAGGGTGAGTAAACAATGTCAGCATTTTCAGCTTTGGGTTATCTATCCCTTTAAATGTCACTGTTTTATTTAATTTTATTATTAGTAATTTCTCAAAACAAGTTTATGGAGTATTTTAAACAAAATGAAACAAGAAATTACTTTAATATATTTTCAGATAAACAAAGGTCATACATTTATAATTTTTATTGGTTCATCTTTAGACATACATAGTCATGTTTTATTAGTACAATTAATTACCAAATGTGTGTTTAGATATGGAGAATTTTATGTTTTACAGATGTTTTTGACACTGACATAATCTCATAAATTAATAAAAAAAAAATAAAAGTACTCTCCAAAATAACAAAAACAAATGCCAAAACTAACTTTGTTTTATTTTATAAAAAAAAATAAATAAATAAATATATATATATATATATAAATATAAAAACATATATATAAATAATATATTTATTTATATATATATATATATATATATATATATATATATATATATATATATATATAAATATATTATTATTTATATTATTATATTATTATTATTAAATATATTATTATATATATATATATATATATATATATAAATATATATAAATATAAAAACATATATATATATATATATATATAAAAATGTATATAAATAATATATTTATATATATATAAATAAATATTTATATTATTATATTATTATTAAATATATATATATATATATATATATATAATGATTTTTATTTATTATTTAAGTTTATACGTTTTGGATTCTTTTAAATAAGGTCTTCACTCTGGTGTCCACCAATCAGTTTTCGTTTTTATTTATTTATTTATTTATTATTTTTTAATTAAAGTAAATTACAATCAAAGCAAATGCTTAATGTTTAAAATGTTGCTCTTATAGTGATAGTGTATCGATGCGCAGCGATAATGATTATTTTAAAGGTTTGATGTCAAACACAGTAAAACAGTTAAGTTTTAAGTAACTTTCAATTTAAATATGTTCATCAAATCGTAGTTTATTCCTGTAATGGTGAATTTTAAGCGTCATTACCTCAGTCTTTAGTGTCGCATGATCAGTTGTGATTATTACCACTATAAAAAATGTAGCCTGGTTTACCAACAAAATAATTACATGTATTACTGCAATTAAAACTGTTTATTTGATATTAGCCACGCATTTTAAGAGCATTTGCTTCTTAAAAAATGTATAAAAAAGGTAATTTATTCAGATTTAAATACACACTTCACTGCTGATTATACATGATGATCTATAATGTATATATAGTAGCTGTGTGGTAAAGTCTGCCAGATGCTTCAGGTGAGGCTAAAATAAAAAAAAGAAGGTAATTGCTACCTCCAGGAGATCCTGTTCTGAATTCTTGAAGCCTGTTTTGCAACTTTAACATATTATGAACATGAAACAATCTCTTTGGTGGTTTAATAAGCAGGAAATATGACTTTCATAATGGGAATCCCAGTGATGCATCTTTCCATGATGTAGCTTACCTCTAATTTTAAGCAGGTTGTATCACTGGAATATTTTTATTCTCCAATCTTATATGCGTTGGTATAAATTTGGATAAAGAGATAATTTCATGTAATAGTCACCCTCATGTTAATTTAAACCTGTAGGATTATAGGCTTATATTCTGTTAAAAAAAAAAAGAAAAAACATCCATTCTTTCATTCATTTTCTTTGTGGCTGATTCCTTTTTTTTAACACAGTGGAATGAACTGCCAACTTATCCAGCATATGTCTTACACAGCGTATGTATGCCCTTCCAGCTGCAACCCATCACCAAGAAGCATTTTATCCATACATTAAAGGTCAATTACGTCAAAAACCAACCCTGGATTCTACCAACTTGGCTTTGTATGGACATTTTACAAACTATCTTTTGTTTTACTTGGATACAGATGTGTGAATGATGACAGAACTGAGCTATTTCGTTGAAATTGGTAGGAAACAAGTTGCAGTATTTAATATTTAGTGGAAAAAGGATGAACAAAGCGAAGAGCGTGATTTGTCTCCGTTATTTTGTCAAGGAAGTTGATGATAATTATTTATATTATGACAGCAATACAATTACTGTACAACAATCATTGCTGTTTTTACATTACTGTGAGGGGTATGGGTTGGCGTTAATGACATACAAATGACTGAGTAATAAATAATCCTCGTTATAATTACTGTTTTACAATAGTTGGGTAGGGTTAGGTGTTGAGGTGGAGGTAGACACTAATAAATTACAATTGACTATGTAATTTACTAAACAATATAAATCTAGCTATAATTACTGTTAAGGGTGGCATGGTGGCTCAATGGTTAGCACTGTCGCCTCACAGCAAGAAGTTCGCTGGTTCGAGTCCCAGCTGTGCCAGTTGGCATTTCTGTGTGGAGTTTGCATGTTCCCCCCGTGTTCATGTGGGTTTACTTCGGGTGCTCCGGTTTCCCCCACAGTCCAAACAAATGCACTTTAAATGAATTGAATAAACTAAATTGGCCGTAGTGTATGAGTGTGTATGGGTGTTTCCCAGTGTTAGGTTGTGGCTGGAAGGGCATCCACTGTGTATAACATGCTGGATAAGTTGTTGGTTCATTGGTCCTGATTAATAAAGGCACTAAGTCGAAAGAGAATGAAAGAATAATTAGTGTTTTAACGTTAATGATGTGTTGGTTTAGGGTTGGGGGTGGTGTAATTAAATACAATTTACTGAGAAATGCAATAAATAATACTCATAATTACTGCTTTTACATTAGTAATGGGTAGCTTTAGGGTTGGCGTGGTGCTAGACGTTTATAAGATATTTTACATTATATATAAATTAAAAGTATTTGAAAGTACTTGAATATCAGACATATGAGCAATATCACACGAGCAGCAGTGTGCTGTGGCTGTATATCAGCACTGGTGGGAGGCGTGCATTGGCACGAGGCTGCAGGCTGAGTGCCTTAGTGTCCCACAAGTGCTGATATACAGCCATAGCACACTACTATGAGATTGATACAAGTTCGACGGCACTCGGAATCCACTTTTGCTTATTTAAGGACGGAAAAATCCACTTTGCGCCGCGGCGCATGGTTTAAAAGGGTTGAGCTTATTTTCCTAATGAGTTATAGGTGTGTTTTGAGAATAAACTAATCAGCATCTCCTCTCCCATTCCCTTTAAGAGTCAGTTGCATCGCGCCGTAGCGCATTTCCTATTTACATGTTGGACTTTGTAAGTGGAAAAACTGAGCGTTTCACTAGCAAGAAAACAGTTAAACAGAGCATCTGCAGCGCGAGAATGAAGAGATGAGCCTCCTCATTATTTTGCTCTCGTGGATGGGGGTACCTTGTACGCAGACATCAATTAGCCTATAAATAATTAATTTTGTTTGTTAAGCACATAGATTTGTTTAAAACTATTTCTAAATTCATTTCCAATTTCCAGCAAACGAACAAATGAACAATAATAACCAAGTGTGTTCAAAAAACTGAGTTGTATCCAAATACACATGTTGTGCCCTATATGGTCTAAAACCTGACTGGTGGAAAAATGTAAGCTTGTTTTTAATAAAACAAATATAAATCTGCATATAATAAATAATACAGCTAATAACAATAACATTATACAAAAGCAAATTGATATTTAAAAAGGCCCCCGAGATGAAGAAGGCATGAAAGTTTGGTTTTTATATTTATGTAGGCTAGAAAATAATATGTTTTGTAATATTTTAATTCTTTATTTATATCCTATAGGCTATATATCCTTATTATATCATATATATATATATATATATATATATATATATATATATATATATATATATATATATATATGTATATATATCGATAATATTTTAATTCTTTTTCATATGTAAAGATATTTGCGTATTGCTGTACACCCTGTCTGTATTAAGCAATGTGTAAGCGAGGCACACAAATAACGCACGCTGCGCTGGACAATAGACCAGCTTTGATCTGATCTATTTCAACCTTCTATTTAAGTTCCTCAAAATAGCAACGTGCCAGCAGTGCGCCTCAATACGCCTTTTTTAGACCAGAACGCCTATGGGCGCACATATGAGTGCAAATGCATTTGCTATTTAAACAGCGTGGCGCAAAACGTCAAAACGACTCTTGCGCCAAGCTGAAACTAGCAAACAAGAATTGCGTTCACCTTCCGCCACATTGTGTGGGCTGTATGATAGGGCCCTATGTCCTAAATATCTTGTATCTTGTAAGGTTAAGTAGGTAGGTAGGTTAGTCCTCCTTATTGTTCTTGAAGATATTTTGTTTGACAAATGTAGTTTACATTTTTCTTTCTCTGATGTGGTTAACTTTATTTTACTAATGGGTAAATTATTTTTATTGTTGTAAATGGAAAAAAATGCAGGGCCTCTTTTAGATGTTTTCTTTCTGAGGTAGGGAAAGTGGCTCAAAGCTTCAAATACATTAGAAACCAATTAAATTAAGCTCTTTGTGCGATGTTGATATACCTGTGTGGTGCTGTAAACTTTTTGCAACTATAATTAAAAAAAAACCTCGCTAACTTCCGGCCGCAGCGGTATCCCCTCTAGCAACATTGCTCACCTGTAGGCGCGAACTTCACCTGTATTTCCTGCACCTGCGCGTTCACGAGCTCCGCCCACGCGAAACTCGAGTGTAGTGAGGAGGAGATGTTGTTACTCATGCCGGATGGACGGATGAAACACCTCACAAACACTTCAGCTTTTCCCTGTGTCACTTTATACCGATACCAGACAACAACAACAACAACAATACACGAGTGGACGGTTGACGTGAAGGTGAGTTGAGCTTTTGTACACACGGCACACTTAAAAAATTTTAAAACTCTGGTAAACTTCACTGCTTGCGTGTCAACAAACTTACTAGATCAGAAACTAAACGGTAAATATAAGTAGTTGTAGATTTATCATCTGAATTGTGACATTTTTAGAGTTTGTTTACAACGTTGCTTCAATGTTTTTGTTGTTCGACTAGCCTACACTATACTCTATAGTAGAGCTATGGTAAATACTTTGACTTATAGTGTGATGCTTAAGGGCTGTAATTTAAGTGTCAAACTGATCTATTTGAACTGATTCACATTATAATGGTGTTTACACATTGTGCCTTAGGTTGCTTGGTAATATTTTGGTACTTGCTTGATTAATGAGTTCGTAGATATATAAATAGTGTTTGTCTTTTTAACTTTACAGCTCGATCTGTTAAGCTTGGTTAAGCCGTACTTGTAAAACAGCATCATTAAATCTATAAGAAGAAAACGTAAAACTGGTTTAAATGGCTAAATGTGTGCCATTATTTGAAAGGTTTCTTTTGAAGAAAATAAATCAGTAAAATGTTTGTGTTAAGTCTTGTAATAATAGTAATTGTTATTATGTAATGACATTAATAGATTTTGTTACTACATTTTAGATCATTATGTAACAATAATTGTACTGTAATATTACACAATGTAATAGTTGTGTATTGTATATGAGAATTCTATGATTCTATAAACATATGAAAAGTAAAACATGCCTGTAGCCAGCCTATTAAAATGAGTGGTTCATTCGCCTCATTTTCTGTTAAATTGTGAGGTTCAAACGCTGCATTTTAAGCACTAAATTTAGCTTGTGGATGGTAGTCATTACCACAGTTTTTGATGCAACATAACTATTTCCTACATTTTTTTCAAAGTCCTTGCCATACTATTTTATGTTCACAAAAATTTGTGTTTTCAAATGTGCATTACGTTATTACAGTTTTATAAAAAATGTAAGGAGACTACAGTTTTAAATGTCATTTTTTGAACAAAGAAATATAAAAAATACTTCTATCGTTAATAAAAATGATTGGGAATCTGTTAAAACTTGTTTTAAATTACAAACTGTAGCCTATAGGCAAATAACAAACAAGCCAGCTCATTTCCTCACACTCAAATGTTTGAGTTACTTTCAATGAGCTGAAACAACACAATTCTTAAGTTTTTGGGGGACAACTTAATAGTTTCATGTTCAATCCACTTAAATTAGTAAAAAAAAAATAACAAGTTAACTTAATTTTTTCCTGTTGTCCTAACACAAATTGATTGTGTGGAATCCAGTATTTTTTTACAGTGCAGTTAGAATTTGTCCATTTAAAATAATAATTAAATCCACTGTGGAGACCCCTGATGAATAAAAGGACTAAGCTGGAGGAAAATGAATGAATTAAATTTGTCTTAAAGCCTTTTTTTATAGGTTATTTTCACAATTTATGATGGCATACTGGTAAAAATGGGACAAATAAGCTCATATAGGGGCCAAATTCTGGACTTTCAAACCACTCAAACCCCACCTGGCTTTGGGCCTGGCATTTGTCTTATCAATTACTGATAATTGTGTGATTATTAGATTATGATGTATGATATTAGTATATGATGTACTGGCTGTGTCAGTTGGCATTTCTGTGTGGCGTTTGCATGCTCTGTGCTACGGTATGGGTAAATTAGGTGAACTAACTTGCCTATAGAGCAGGGTTGCTGAAATTTTTCTTATCAAGGGCCAAAAACCAAACTTGATTAAGGCTAGAGGGCTGAAGGTAAGCATGGTTGCTAGGGCTGCACAATTCTGGCTAAAATGAGAAACAATTCACGTTTTTTCCTCACGATTCTGTAGATGTAAAAGTTAATATGAGTAGGCTATTATTATTGCTATTTCTCAAACACATGGTAAAACAACAATAATACTATCAGGCCTATGTGTAGGTCTACTGTTGTTTAAAATGCTAAATTTTGTACAGATTTGGATTGGTGCACTTTAAATGAACAGACTTTCATTTAATAAAATGAAAAAAAATGTCCTGTTGTTTTTGGTCATCGGAATAAAACTATTCATAATTCTGAAGTTGAATTGTTAGGTTTGAGACATATTCTTCTCATTTGTTATGGACCACATTATTAGACCATTTTTTGCTGGTAAAATGAGACATTTTTCACTATCAGATTCTTTCTTGCATTATATTCAACATTATATAGGCTACAGTAGTTATACTGACCCACTAAACGTTTATTTTCATGCACAACACTGTGTTTGCTATACTATGTTATTACCTGTTATTCACAGCCTATGCAGGTTCTCTTCACTAAAGTCATTATTGGTGGGCACGTGCGCGTCCTCTGTAACAAACAGTGTTAGCTCACATGTGATTTCGCGGCTGCGAATACGTCATTACATTAAAATAGAAATTACATTTTGGGTGAATTCTACCTTAGAAATACAGTATGTGACTCCTAACAACATTTAGAGGTGTACATGTTGCTGAGCAACGTATATAAAACATTAGCCCCTTTCACACATACAGACCTTTCCGGAAAATTGCCGGCAATTTTCCGGAAAGCTTGTATGTGTGAACAGGTCCTTTTTGAAAATACTGGTAAATTCGTTCTGGCTATTTTCTGGAAAGAGAAGTTGTAACATTACCGGCAATTTGCCGGAATGCTGCGCTGTGTGAATGCAGAAGGAAGATTGGCGTAATAAGCGCGTGCACGTCTAGAACGTGCTGACGTGAGACGTCTGCTTTAGCCAATCACAACAGTCAGACGCATTTACGTCCGCGCGGTTTGTGAGAATAAAAACCTTTGAATATTTTTCCAGACACATTTAGCTGCTAGAAGTTAGTCAGATCACGTTTATATGTTCTTCTTTATGCCAACTGTGTAAATAATCATCGACGAGATGCTTATGATAAGCCGTTGTTTGTTTACCTTTAAGCTTTGCGTGTGCCTTTGAAACAGCCTGTGAGCGCCTGCACACGCACATATTATGAACATCTCGACATGCGAAAGTGATCCTGCGAAAGTTGTTCACAATATTGATCATCCACAGAGTTTGTAATTTAGTCAAATGTTTACAAATACAAGCGCAGCCGTTTAAAGCTCATTTCTGGTTAATGATGTCAGAATTTACCGGTATTTTGGAATGGATGTGTGAATGCTCTTTTCCGGAAAATTTCCGTAACGTCCTCGCCTGTGTGAACAGCGCTTTTTTGAACATACCGGTAAAGTCGTTCCGGAAATCTTCCGGATATTTACCGGTATCACTGTGTGAAAGGGGCTAATGTGAAGACTTGTGGCCTTCTCTCCTGACCTTGAAAATATAATTAGCTGAATCGTAGAAACGAGAATTCAGGGTTAAATTGAGATCGCAATCTTTTTTCGATTAATCATGCAGCCCTAATAGTTGCCATGAGTGATTTCCTAATTTATTTAATAATATAAAAAATTACAAGAAAACATTGCTTCATATGAACTGACACAGTATTTTTTTTTTTTACATTTTTATAATGAACTTATTACAGTAAAAACAAAATCTCATTTATAACAGAATTACACTAGTTTTTGCCTTTATTTGCTTGCTGATGTCTTCTGCATAGTCCCCCTATAGCCCCTTTCACACAGTGATACCGGTAAATATCCGGAAAATTTCCGGAACGACTTTACCGGTAAACTCAAAAAAGCGCTGTTCACACAGGCGAGGACGTTACGGAAATTTTCCGGAAAAGAGCATTCACACATCCATTCCAAAATACCGGTAAATTCTGACATCATTCACCACAAATGAGCTTTAAACGGCTGCGCTTGTATTTGTAAACATTTGACTAAATTACAAACTCTGTAGATGATCAATATTGTAAACAACTTTCACTAGATCATATTCGCATGTCGAGATGTTCATAATATGTGCGTGTGCTGACGCTCACAGGCTGTTTCATGGGCACACGCAAAGCTTGAAGGTAAACAAACAACGGCTTATCATAAGCATCTTATCGATGATTATTTACACAGTTAGCATTAAGAAGAACATATAAACGTGATCTGACTAACTTCTAGCAGCTAAATGTGTCTGGAAAAATATTCAAAGGCTTTTATTCTCACAAACCGCGCGGACGTAAATGCGTCTGACTGTTGTGATTGGCTAAAGCAGACGTCTCACGTCAGCACGTTCTAGACGTGCACGAGCTTATTCCGGAAATCTTCCTTCTGCGTTCACACAGCGCAGCATTCCGGCAAATTGCCGGTAATGTTACAACTTCTCTTTCCGGAAAATAGCCAGAACGAATTTACCGGTATTTTCAAAAAGGACCTGTTCACACATACAACCTTTCCGGAAAATTGCCGGTAATTTTCCGGAAAGGTCTGTATGTGTGAAAGGGGCTTATGTGTGACTATTTACAATTAAAAAGCAGATTAATTTACAACATTTAATTGAAACATTTTATTTTCAGTTTGCTTTTTTGGAGTAAAAAGGTTACGTCAAATTAGGAATTATGATCTCTGTGTTAAAGGCAACCACTCAAACCCTATCCATCATACTCGCCCTTCTCTCAGATGGGATGGTGGGGCAAATCAAAGGTTACGATGGGCCAACTTTGGCCCGCAGGCCTTATTTTGGGCATCTTTGCCATAGGGTATAAGTGTGTGTGTGAATGAGAGTGTGTATGGGTGTTTCCCAAAACTTGGTTGCAGCTGGAAGGGCATCCGCTGTGTAAAACATGTGCTGAAATAGTTGTCAGTTCATTCCGCTGTGGCGACCCCTGATAATTTTAAGGCTAAGAAAGAAAATGAATATTACTTTTATTTGTTTGTTGACCCAAGTCAGTTGTTTTCATCATTTGCTACAGTACTTTGTTGTTATTAATACACAGACTTCATGTGCTCTGAATATCATCACTATTCTTTGGAAACATATCTTTAGGTGACAAAACAACAGTTCAAAGCAGAATAAACAAGCGCTTTATTTGTGAAGCTGTCAGACGCAGGTGC